TACCACGTCCGATTTGCTCGGGCTGACCGGTGTCAAAGGAACCCCAGTCCCTCCTGGTAATGGCTGATGTTGATCTCTGCGCCGCAGCCATTTCCCCCACCTTCCGTGCTTTTCCTCGCCGCCCTCATCGTCCGAGTCGTCCAGAATCACACGCGAGCGCAGCCGTCGAATGGCACGCTCGCGCCGCACCATGGCGTTCGAAATCTTCGGGCAGTATCCGCGTGGTAGCATATTCTTCTTGCAAATGGGACATAATGAGCTGTTGATGGCTAGAAATTCGTCGATGCACTCGGGGTGGAATATGTGTCCACAGGGTAGCTCGCGAATAACGGACACACGGTCTTCGTACTGCTCCAGGCAGATGTGGCATTGTGGTTGGTAGTTGGTGGCGATGGTGTTCGCAGAGCTTGTTAGGCTAGATCGCCGAGTGCGCGAGCTCGACATGACATCGGAAATGGCTCGTTGGTCGGTTCGTACGCTTCGTGGTGATCGCAGAGACCGGCTTGCCAGTGGTGTCGAGGGCGCGCTGGCGACTTCTGGCTGATAACTGTACGTAAAGAGGGGGAACTCTCGAATGTGAGCAGGTGGCACCGCCATTCGCTTGATACCCATTGCTTCTAGGTCCACCTCTCTGCTGATGACGCGGCGCCGCAACGAAGCCCGCCTTTGTCGTTGCACGAGATGCATGGTGACGGAGACGCATGCGATGATGAAGAGCAGGGCGCCTACGACGATCAAGATCCAGGTCCACATGGCTGGCAGATTCTGTTGGTCGGTTATCGTCAATTCGGTCCATACTCGTATATAATCTCGAGGATTCGGGTCGTGTTCGGCTTGGACTTCTTCGGCAAACGGTATCGTGGACGGGTCTCCAGAGTATAGACCGAGCTGTTTCATCATCTTTGAGCCTTCCGAGCCCGGGACTGCAAAGACAGGAAAGTGATTCTGGGAATGCCAGGCGCCGCCATCTTCGAGATCCCATATCGGAGAGTTGACGCCTTGAGGTTCTCTTGTGGAATTGTTAGGGCGGTAGAATATGAACGCCCGAATGGGATCGAGGCGAGCAGCGGCTAGGTATGCCTTGGTGCATGTAGAGTTAAACCAGGGCGCAAGTGCAATAAGGTTGTACATGGGCGGGGGCAGCTGTTCTCGCGTGGTGACATTTCGCGGGATCAGATCGTACTGCTGTTCGTAGCATGGATTCGCTTCCGAAATCTCCGGGACGTATAGGAGGCCGCGGATGATGCCGTTTCGGGTCTGCAAGTTCGTTCGGGTCAGAGTAGTTAGGTTTGTTCTCAACGTATCGACATATCCAAGGGTATCCTGCGACATTCGGCGTTAGACATTCTGGTTGACAAAGGCGGAAAGCAAAAAGGCGATCGTACGTTGAAGGTGGTGATGTTCCGGATGATTGTGCTCGGCACAGTGTTGGCGCCGCTCCATACAGGGTTGCTGAAGAGTAGCCTGCAATAGTCCAGTCAGTTGTCGGAGCGTCGCAGGAGGCCAGCGTACGGGTTGGTTGGGATGGAGGCCCGCGTCGTTGTCGGTCGTCTGTTGACGGGAAGGGGCCACAGGGCGCGAATGGTCGCCATACGAAGGAAAGCTGGGAGGACTTACACTCGATTGTAAATCTGATCGAGCGCTGTGAGACGTCAGTGTCGGAAGCTAAGCCAAGGGGAAATCGAGGTATCAAGCGGTCGGTAGGAGAAAGCTGTGTGGAGGCGATGATGGTGAAGGGGACGAAGGCGTCGTCAATTGAGGAGTGTCGCCGATGACGCCTCGTTTGACTGAATGGAATGGCAAGCTGAGGAAGAGTGTTTGTTCTTACACATGCTGCGCTCACGTCGCCGAGCATTGGACTGGATACATGGAACCCAACCGCTGAAGGAGTGTTGACGATGGCGGCGGAGTGGGTTGGTGTGCGAATGGGCAACGGTTGGAGGAGGGAAGAAGAGGCAGCAGGAATGCGCGCCAAGCAAGTGTTAAGGCAAGTCGAAGGGGGAAGTGGAAGCGCTGTTCGATATCGGAGTCAAAGTGGGATCGGATCCCACTCGGACAGAACGGGGGGTTATCTGTTGGAGTTGCTGTCG